GGGAGAGTGACAAACAGTGGGACAATTTAAACAGTAGGACACTTTAATTTTCTGAAAAACTACTTAAAGAAACTCGACTAAAATTTAAATGTAAACCATGTTTATGACAACACAATATCCCCAAAAATTTTAGCCACATTGATTCATTATTTACAAAGAAAATTGAAAAAAACTGTTTTTGCAACACTAACCTCTAAAGTTAAATTTTACACACCGAAAAGTGTGTGTAAAGAACCTTTTTTAAAAGGGTGTGTAAAGTGATTCACTTTACGCACTGAAATATTACTTTACGCACCGAAATTTCTCTCACATAATATAAGGATTGTTTTAGACCATACAAAACCACAAAATTAAAAAGCGAACTTTACTTTTAAATTTATACACTCCTACTTAATGATATTTTTCCTGATCTTCGATTGATTTATTTAATTCTATACAATCGAAATTATTCTAATAGAGATTTGGAATTCCTCAGAATAGGTACTTAACTTTAGAGGTGTTGCTGATTTTTATATAGATAGGACAGTTTTAAAAAAAAGTGTAATTATTACTTCGTTTACTCATGTTTTTAAGTATAATATCCAATAATTTAAAATATATTAAAATTTCACAAACAATTTTTATTTAAATAATTTCTTGCGATTGCTCAATTTAAACAGTGGGACAAAACACTGGGACAGGCAAAAATTTAAATTTATGAGACGTGGATTTTGGCAACACTAATTATACATTGTGTCAGCTATACGCATGCGCATTTATACTTACACAGCGACTAAAAATGTGATATTTTTATGCTAAAAAACAATAAAAAATTCAAAATTTATAATTAATAATTATTACAATTATTGTTCGACAACATTTAAAAAACGTAACACTTGATAAGAGAACGACTATTCAAATTTTGAAAGAATATTTAAAATATTGCAATGATAACAATTTGAAAATTAATGTTTCTTAAAATACTGCAATTGGCCATCTCTCCTGAAATGCACAAATAAGATGGCCATAGGTGTCTGGGACAGATGGCAAATGCCAAAGATGAAAAAATTCTATTTCAATGAGATCTAAAACTTTTGTAAAATCCTTTTTTTTATAATTTTGAACACATTAATCAAAAATCGCAAAAGAACTATGAAATTTTGGTGTTTTTTAAAAATGGTTTTTACGAAGAAAATCAAATTAGCGAGTATTTTCACAATTTTTTTGCTCGTGCATTTTTTGCAACAAAAAAAAGTTTTTAAAATTTGATACATTTTTAAGAAAGTTATGAACATTCAAAGAAAAATTTTGAAAAATTTATATCTTGTAAATAGCTTGATAAAAAATATTGAAAAAATCTCGAAACAATAGGTATGTTGGAATGGTTTGGACCCCCTCAAATTTTTTAAATGAATAAATAATATTTTTTCTGTGATAGTCTTCTTTTTTGGAGTAATTTTTTCCTTTTGTAACTATGTGAATTTTATCATATAAGAATTTGTTATTTTACGGTATAATTTTTACAATTTTTAAGTAATATTTTTTTTTCTTGGTTATTTTTTCAATAATTCAAACATATAAAGGAAAATAAAACTAAAAGAAGAAAAATATGAAGACAATTTTCTGTTATTCTTTTTTGAAATAAACATTTTCTATGAATAAGAAGCAAAATTTTCGTGAAATGAATCTAATATAGTTTGCTTTCATATATATATAATATATGTAAAAAGAACAACCCCGCTCTTGTTTTAAGATTTAATATTTTTCTTCGTCTTTGTATCTCGCTTTAAATTTTGAAATATTTCTTCTGGTTTTTTTATATTTCTTATATAGAATCAAAAAACATTTCTCTTTAACTTTTCCACTCTTAGAATTATCATGATCAATGAACAATGTCAATGATTTTAAAATGACTGCATGATAATCCTATAAAATCTCATTAGTTAGAATTTTCAATTTAAAGAATTTTATTGGATATAATTATTTTTTAGACGAATTTTTATTTTTCGAATTAGCATTTGATAGAATTTCTTTTTAAAGAAATTTTCACTCAACAGAATTTTAAGGTATACCGAATTTTTATTTAACAGATTTTCCATTTTTACAGAATTTACTCTATCCTAATTATTTATTTTAGATAATGGAATTCTAATTTAACCGAATTTTAATTTTTAAATGCTAGAATTTCCAATTTTCATTTCTCCGAAAATATTATATAATGTATTTTTGTGTTATAAACATTCAGATGCGAAGAACAATAATCAGTGAAACAAATTTTTGGATATTTAAAAGCCATCGATCACAACTTACATTTTTAATCTTATTTTTTTTATAAACAACTTTTGTACTTTTAACTTCTTTAACAGTTAAAAATTTTTATTTTGAAAATTTTATATACTTTATAGGACAATTTTACTTTTGGAAATTTTGTATTTACTTTGTAGAAATAAATTTTTGATATTTTAACTTTGGAAATTTTGTTTTAAAACTCTTGTACCCCAATCCAATCAAATAACAATTTGTGGAAATAAAATATTCGGTCAAATGAAGATTCGTTGAATTGAAAATTCATGCATTCAAAAATTCGAATAATCACTTAAAATTCTATTAAATTAGAATTCTTTTAAACAAGTTGTAAATTCAGATGTTCATTACATGAACATTTTGCTTCCTCTTTACGGTCAGCAAAAAAAATTTGCTTCCTCGTGGAGAATGCATTTACATTAAAATAAACATACAAAAATAATATAATAATAATATAAACATTTGAGTACCTATAGATTTGAGTTAAATTTAAAGAATTAATGGAAGTTAAAAAATCAAAAATTCACATTTCAGCTGAAATTTCTAAAAATTAATGAAAAATAATATATAACTAGCAAAATTACACGCGCGCAAGCGCGCGTCCAGCTTTAAATGCAGTGGTTGTTTTAAAATAATAATAATATTAATAATAATTCTGCATCAGTGGAGTAATAAATTAATAATAGGTATATTTCTAATTTTCACGTTATCATTTATTTATACACAGAAAAAAATGAGTTTGATGTTATATAAATAGTGATTTTTTATAGTTAAGCCAGCTCATAATTAGTTAATACAGCAAAAATAATTTAGCTAAGTTAATTTTTAAATTTAATAAACTTGTAAAACTATTAGTTCGATTGTTGACGGTAAAAACAATGAAAACCCAAGAAAAAACCTATCGAAAAAGTGATGATAAGAAAAACATAAATTAAAACCAATTGTTACAATTGGCGGTGTAAATGTTGATAAATCAATTCTAGTATCGCCAACATAACCGCCGCCACTTGAAATGCCGAGAAAAATTAATTATGTTATGTTAATTATAATTAAAATATTCTTTGTCACTTATGTATACTGTAAACGAAAAGACAGAGATTGTTGGGATAAAAGATATTACTGACGAATGGATTTACTTATTGACAGAATGTATTTAACGAGTAAGATCATTTTTTTGTGAATTAAAAGTAAAAAAATAAGATTTTTAAGTAAAAATTTTAAAATATAAATATTAAAATTTTAGAAATAAATATTTTTGATAAAGTCAATATTCGATGATTTTTCATAATCTTTGAAATTACAAAAAATTAGTTTTGCTAAATATTTTTTTGCATTTTCTATAAATATTTCGTTGCAAATGAAAATTTTAAATTTATGTTTTTTTTCAAAAAATTTAATTAATTGATAATTAATAAACATTAAAAAATTATGTAATCAAACAGAAAATTAAATTAACTGAAAATTATTAATTATATTTTAAAATATATTAAGCAATTAAAAAATATTTAAAAATTTTGAAATAATAAAACCTAAAAAAAACTTTGTAATGTTTTAAACTTTAAACTTAAATTAAAAATTAAAATCAAATTGAAAATTTTTTAAAAAAGCAAACTATTTTTATATAGTTAATTAATAAATTAATTTATAATTATTTACAATTACATTGATTCGTTTTAATGCAAGGAAGATAATTATTTTATATTTAAACTTGAATTTAAATAAATATAAAATTTTTCAGCTAAAATTGGAATTTTTTTTTTTTAACTATCATTAATTTATTAAATTTACCTCAAGTGAAAACTTTATATATACCAATCGATTCGTTTTCATGCAAGGAATACAATTATTTCATCTATAAACTTAAATTTAAATAATCACAAAATTTTATAGCCAAAATGTGAATTTTTGATTTTTTAACTTTCATTAATTCTTTAAATTTAAATTAAAACTATACTTTATATATACCAATCGATTTGTCTTGACGTAAGGAATACGATTTTATTATTTATAACCTTAAATTTTTCTATTTAAAAATTTTTTCGATAAAAAAAATTTTTTGGAAAAAAGACGATAAAATTTTTTTTTGCGTATTTTTTAAAATCCTTTTGTCAGATTTGAGATATTAATATGATAAATGAGCCTACCAAATTTTATCTAAATCCATTAAAACCTGTTAAAGTTATCGTCTAAACAAAAAAGGAATCCAAAAACACACATACATACATCCGGACAATTGATCAGGATCTCATATAACATGTTTCTATATAGAAAAAAATTTGTTTCCGCCACTTTGAAAATTTTTATAAACGAAAGCGACTACAAAGCTTCCTCCACGAGGAAGCAATAAATAGTTGGGGATAAGGATAATAAATTCTGTAATAATATAAGAAATCTACGTCAAATAAAAATACTGTGGAATAAAAATTTGTTTATAAATTAAATTAATTAATTTTATTTTATAATATAATTAATTTTCACTTTAATTAATTCTTAGTTAATTGTAACTAATGACTTTTATGGGATAATCATGCGCCCTTTTTTTTTTTTTGAGGATTTTTTCTTTCATAGAAAATCAAATTCTTCTATTGTTATCAGTTGTATAAAATCTCATAGAAAACCCCCATGACATAATACGCACCTGGATCAAAGTAGCTATACTGTTCAGAGGAGGGAGTCGTTGTCCTCGGAGTCGGTGTTCGTGAGCAACCAACAGTTTCAGCATGCTCAGTGTGGCGCGGAGCGCGTTGTTAGTCGGGTCTTTGTAGAGGTGATTTCTTCGTTTCCGGTATCACGTTGGCGTCGTTTCCGCCACGTGACGCCATTTGAAAAATGATCTTTTTTCAATTCCATTGAAGCAACATTATGTGAAAATTATTATGTTACAATTATAAAAAATAGAAAAAAAAAATTAAAATACAGTGCTTCAAATATTCAAAAATTGTTGTTTATATTTATATAGAAGAAGTGAAATGTATCCTTTACATTGGACGTTGAGCCTTGCAATCTTGGATTAGGAATATATATATATAGTCTTGGATCGACGAGACGAAGAGAAAGATCTTTGCGTCTTACTTCATCTCAAAGAGAATGTAAGTCAGACGAAACAGCGATGCCAGATCTACCTTTACCGGTTACATTGATGAATCATTATTTATGTCCTGTTGCATGGTCATCCTCAGCTGAAAGTCATTAAAGGAATTATGATCCAGGTGTGCTCTCAGCTTCAGGATGATTGAGTCTGACGGAAACGTTTGAAAATCACTTCCTAGCGACTTTTTTTTTACCCTGTTGATTAAGTAGTGCAAGTCAATTATATGTATTTGGGCTAATTGTCTCTGAAAAATGGGCATTTTTGAATATGTATTGGAAATTTATTTATTTTTTCATATGGTATTCACCAAAATAATATATTATTAATATATTTACCAATTTGGTTTTTTTTTCTTCTGTTCTTTTTGTTTATTTTTATGTACTTTTAGAACAAAATTTATGTTGGCAACAATGAGAAAACAAAACAAACTGCATATTATACAGAAATGTGCCTCAACTTCTGAACGTTTAAATGAATAGACAAATAATTCAAATGATTTGTTTACTATTTTTTTAGTTTCAAATTTTATTGTAAAATATTTATTTCTTTATTCAAAAATAAGGGCTGCAATGATTTAGATAATAATTTAATTATTAAATTTTAATTAAATTAAATATTAAATCATGATTTAAATTAAAAAAGTCGTAATTGTTAAAATTTTTTAAACATATATTAATATATTTTTTACATTCAATTTTGTATATAATTTAAAAATTCATCTTTTAAAGTTATTGACGAATACTCTACTGACATTTTAACCAAAGTCAGTTTACATTTAAAAAAAATTTTTTTTTTTTTTTAAACATGACTTTGAAGTATTTATTAAAAAATCTTTATGTCAAATATATCTTAACTTAAAAGCGAATATTTAAAAACGTATTGATTGATTTGAAAAATTTTACACTGAAAAAAAAATTATTTGATTTAAATACTCGATTACTTGACTATTATCAAAAATAAATATTTATTTGTATCAAATAATTATTATTTGAGTCAATTAAATGGTATTTGTTTCTCAAGTACAGAAATTATTGGTTCAAATACAATTTATTTAATTCAAATAAAAATTATTTGGTTCAAATAAATTTTTTTTTTCAGTGTACTATAAATTATTAAAATTATTGATGTTAGAAAAATCAAAAATTTCTTTCTGGATAATTTTAGTTTAAAATTTTTATATAAATTTTTTTTTCATTTTGAAAAATGTTACGTTAATTAAGTGAAATAAATTTAATTTAAATCAAAAAAGTCAGATTAAAATTTAAACTCTCTAAATCTGAATTAGTGAAAAGTGAGCTACTAATTTAAATTAGTAAGAATTTTCACTGATTTTTAGTCACTTTTTACTAAAACTTTAGTAAAAAAAAAAATTAAAAACTACTAAATCAAATAGTAAAATTTTACTAAAAATTAGTAAAAATTCTTACTAATGTGAATTAGTAGCTCAATTTTCACTAATTGAAATTTATAAAGAGAAAGATAGGTTTTTTTTAAATTATGATTTTTATCAGCCCAAATTAATAATTTAATAAAATAATGTATTTTTTCATTTTTCATTGCTATATAAATAGTAATTTTTTAAAAAAATGTATAGACCAAAAGAATTATTTCGTTTATTTAAACGTTCAGAACTTCAGGATCATACACAAAATACTAATTCAGATTTTTAACCTCAATTTGCGAGTTCTTAATCAGTGCTTTATTTTTGTCTTTAAAAAAATTTTTTTTTTTTAAATTGATAAAAATTGAAGAAAACTTTATTAGTCCACTGACTTTCGTCTAATAGTGGTTGCGACCAAATTTTAAAAAAATCTAGTTTTAATATATGTGATTTAATATATTTTTATAAAAAATGTAGCGATTTGAAATTGGTCAGTTAACTTCAAGTCTTTTAATTAACATTTTTAAATAAAAAATTTTGAAAATTAATATCTCCAAAAAGAAGCAAAACACCTGCGTAAAATTTTAATAGAAGGTAAAGAATATAATAAAAAATCTTTGTGCAAAACCTCAATTTTTTCGGAGCACCGACAAAAAAGTTATAAGTAAATAAAAATCTTGAGAATATTTAAATAAATTTTTTTTTAAAATCGTATATCATCTAAAAATAATAAATTTTTGCAATAATTCTTTCGTTCCTCTGTGCAGAATAAAGTGATTTATGTTTTTGGTGAGTTCCAACATTTAATTTTTAATAGATTTTTAATAATAGCGTTTTTAAAAAAATTGAAAAATTTAAGGTTACAAAATCACATTGTGAACCTCCTACTTTTGATATTTAATATTTTTAAAGGGAATAAAATTTTTACCATAATATTATGGTTAATGAACTCAGGGAATCATCGAGTTTCACATATATTAAAACTAGATTTTTTAAAAATTTGGTCGCAACCACTATTAGACGAAAGCAGTGGACTGACCCTTTAATAAAAATTTTTTACCATAATCTGTAATATAAATATCACAAATATAAAGAATTATAAACACCTTAAATTTGACGCAAGTGTTTAATAAATTAAAATTTACATTGCTAAAATCCACAACGTTTATGATTAATGGTTAGAAAATAATTTTTTTTAAAATGAAAAATTATAAAAAAAAATTTAGTTAAAAAAAAAACGTTTTTCTATAATATGTTTATTAATAATTGTAAGCATTAAAAGAAATATCTTCCAGACGAAAATTCATAGAAGTTTAGCTTAAAAAAATATATAATTTTTTTTTTAAAATCGTTGATGATCGTTGTGAACTTCAGTATCGTAAATTTAATCTTTGCAGTAAAATGACTAATTAAGAAAAATAGAGAATTTTTAAAATCATAAAAACTTTAAATATTGATTTTTTTTAGAAGATAACAGCAATTTTTTTTTGGGTTAGATAAATATAAAATTTAATTTTAAACTCAAAATAAAAAAAGACATAAATTGCAAATTATCAAGCAAACATTTTGTTGGGACAGTAAAAAAAAATTGTTTCAAAAATACTAATACAGGATAATTTAGGAAAATTTTTCTTACGGATGTTTAGATTAAAATAAAAAATTGTTATTACATTTGAAATATTGTACTTTTTTAAATTCTTTTTTTTATATATTTGAGAATATGATTTCACTCAAGGACTCATTTCTTCATTTCTGTGGATATAATATATATATATAAAATAAAAGGAAAGGCAGTGTTGATTACGTTCAATAATCCTACACACGTGTTATAAACAAGGTCTACCTGGATAGATAAAAATATAAGAGACATATTTTTTTTTTTTATTATACCTGAGAATTTGTTCTAGATTTATTCAATTACAAATGAAAATTTTATATTTTTTAGATAATTATATAATAATAAAACATTTTTATAATGATCGTTTTATTTGAAAATATTTCAAAATTATATTCTTATCAATTTTCAATTATACACTATTATTAAATGAATATTGGTGATTTAATTTTTTTTTCTAAATTAAAAAATAAATTGAAAATTTGCAATTATTGGACAAAAAAGAAAGAAATTTGAAGCAACGGGAAAATGCCTTTCTTTTGAGATCCAATCGTAATGCGCGAGCTTCCAACATTCTAACGGGAAATTACTTCTCATCGCGAAAAGAGACAAGTTTTTGTTTTATATATATAGTATAAAATAGTAGCAATTAACCACGGGATAAAAAAAAATTTCAATTAAAAATAACGTCATCAAAAATTGCTTTTGATTGTTCAGTTCGGCTTTTATTCTTAAAACTCTGAATAGTATTTTGCCTTTGATGAATTTTCCTTTTATTTTTTTTTTTTAAAGAAATTAAATAAAATGTAAAATCAAGTTTATATTTTGAATATAAACGCGACTTTTATAATGTTCTTTCTTTTATGCTAATATTTCTTCAATAAGTAGTTCTACATTGAAATAAAATGAATTTCAAATTTTATAAAAGCATTTTACTATATATATACTTAGGGAAATTGTGCGAAAATTTGAAATTTTCGTATGTAAATGAATTAAACGAATTCTAATTTTGCTTTTTAGTTCATTTTCACTGAATATAGAAAATTAATTTTATATATATTTTCAAATCATTCTCTAAATTGATCTAAAAAATTTTTCGATTCAAATTTTAATAATTCAAATCTAAATTGTAATTTTTTCAATTCAACATTCAATCAATTCTAATTTTTAATGGTCAAAAGAAATTTATTAATGAAAATTTAGTAATATTGCAGAATATTATAATAATATTACCGAAAATTTATATCAAATGCAAAATTTAATCAATCGAAACTCAAAATTAAAGAATTTTAATTGATTTAGGTTTAAAATTATTCGAATTTCAATTTTTAATAACAAGTTTTTTAATATCAGAGAAATATTGAAAAATTTATTCTAGTGGCAAAACTGTAAAAAGTTAAACAGTCGAGTATATTATTGTCATAGCTAAATTTTAAACATGTACATATTATATTAAATATTTTTGACACTACCTTTCATGAATTTTACAATTGATATGTAGATTTTCACAGATCCTTAAAATTTTTAACCAAATTTTTTCGTCTTTATAAATTTTTTTCTGATATTTCTTAAAATGATTTACTAATATCATTATAGTAACTTTGCTAAAATCTCACATTATAATTACGGCTAGGTGACAAATCTTACCATTTCAAAATGAATATTTTACAAATTAAAAACTATACAGAGAAAACGATTTTTTTAGTTCAACCATATACAGACAAACTTATATATAAATTTAATTCAATAATACATTTTTGTTGTCAATATATATTTTAGGTTAAGAATCATATCAAAATCTTATTGGCAATAATAAAATAATAAGTGGAACATCTGAATTATGGCACTTTTGCAGGGAATGGTAGCTTTTTTTCGATGCATGGCGGGGAACTAGAATAGAAAAATGCAGGGTGAAGCAGGTGTCAAAAATATAAAGATATGGCATATTTCGGACGTTCTACTTGAATTCCAGTGGAAATTTACATCCGCCCAGTCTGAATTA